TCCCCCGTATAGCCTGAACAGACTGTAGGGGCAAGTGCTGTTAGCGAGCACCTATGAAGGCCGGAACGGTACACGAGGGGGTGGGTGGCCAGCACCACGCCCGACCGCCTTTGTCTCCCTAGTGGCGATGTTTACACACCGCACCAGGTACTCATTACACACACACAGACACACACACAGACACACAGCTTCACAATCTCTCAGGCATTGCACTGGCAAGTAGTGTTCGAAGGAAAGGCTCAAAGTACAAACACCCTACTCTAGTTTAGCATTGTTATTGGAAACAAGGCCATTTGCAGGGTCCCTCAATCATGGAGCTCTTGCTTCATGGTTGCGATTTGCGCTCGCTTAGCCAGGAAGGCCTCACCGAGCCTCAAGGCTCCTTTTCAGGAGGATCCTGCCAGGTTTTTTTCCCACAGGAGGCGGCGATATTGCTGCTGCTGCTGCTGCTGTTGTTGTGTGTCCTCCCAATTGATTAATGTTCCCTTGAATGCCACACTTTGTTGTTGTTCGTTTTGCTTTGGTCATTGTGGTGACCGAGGTCACGCTTACAAATCAGACTCCTTACCCTCGTCTCTTGCGCGTTCTGACCACCTGGTTAAACAAAGTCAACTTGAAACTTGCAGGTAATTTCACAGCGTTGCAATGTTTGGCCAATACCCAATAACATTGTAACTATCTTGTTTTTAGCTATGACCCAGAGGACCCAGAGGAAACCCACGCAGAAGACGGGAGATCATACAAACTGCACGCGGAAGGGTGCCCTAGTTGGAAAATGAACCCCGGGACGTTTTGCTGTGAGGCACGAGCGTTTACCACTGCGCTTACCTGCCGTCCGAACAAAATAAATAAAAACACACGATACATTCGTCAATAACGCTACCTTGAAAGTAAACACATATGCAGGTAGTCCCTGACTTACGACGGAGATGCGTTACGACGACCCCATCGTAAGTCGAAAATATCGTAAGTCTAAAATGGCCTCTCCTACCCAGGAGTCCTAAAGAATGGTGATAATTTAGCAAAAAAGAGCAATTTACAGTACCGTACTGTATAAACTTTCTACTGTATTTATTAATTACAATATTGTATTGCACAGTCAAATTCAAAGAAAAAAAAAACAAGGTAAATTCTTAGCCTACCTATATGAACTGCAATTTCATAGAAAGTTTTTCAGGAAACAATCCTATCTGCTATAAAAAAAAATTTGAACATGCATTGAACACCGAGACAACTTAACTACGTCGACCGCTGGTGAGAGTGAGAGGCATCACTACGCAAGGCGGGAGATGCGAACAGTACATCCCGGCAGCGTCCAACGTACAGCATCGTACCTCGCACGCTGCTGCGTTTGCCTGCCGAGCGAAATGTTAAATATTTAACAATTTTGTCATATCGATATCGCCATCGTAAGATCGAAATATCGTAAGTCGGACCATCGTAAGTCGGGGACTACCTGCACTGTGGTCTTGATTTGAAGCTTTCGTGACTGCAGGAATCAACACTCTCTGGTTCTTTCGGCAAAGTCCGTCTTCAGTTGAAGTTGAAGACGGACGCTTGTGTTGCACAGCAAAACGTCGTGTTTTCTTTTGTTATTTTTTCTATCTACGTGACTTCTCCGAAAGAACCAGAGAGTATAAATCCATACAATCGGTGACTTTCATGCAATGTGGTTCATTGTTAATCTTTGAACATAAAACGAGAAGGGCCGTTGCCCGAAATTTTGCAGGGCTATTGATGAAGAAGTTGAACTTTGTTCTTGTTGTTAACTGTGCCCGTGTACCATTGCCAATGCGGCAGCAGCAGCATCCCCAACTAATGTTCCACCCTTAATTGGCCGGTTCTGCGCAATTGCTTCTTAATAATAGATGGGACAACACAGCAGGACACGTCCCACACAATCCGGCAATCTTGCAGTCACCATTTAGAAGTCGCCCTAATGATACGTACGGGGCATCACATTTGAAAGGTAATTGTAGGTTTAGAAAGTATGGCTTATTTATGGCATGCGGTTGACACGGACACAAAATTACATGCATCGTCGTCAACCCAGCATGGATGAAAGCGTCAGTTCGTATGCGTGCGTCCGACAACCATGTGTTTTAAGAGAATGTCTCCCTTCACAAGAAAGGTGGTCTAATCAAAATTAACTATCACAGTTACAGTCAAGCCCACTTCACGGTTGCACGCATGAGTATAACCCACAAATTACTCCGTTGGGATCGTACACCGTGGCAATCGTTGCCCCCTACTGACAGGCCAATGCCCCGGGTCACTCTTGCAAAAGAGACTATTCCTGGCCTCTAAAGCTCTCACCTTTTAAAATACAAAAAAACTTACTCCGATCTTTACAGCGTCTGAAACGTGCACCCTGCACTCGTCGAATTACGAGGTGCCATGACCAAAATGGCCGTTTGAATAATGACCACAACAAAACTCCAAAAACGCAAATATTTGTTATTACCCAAGCATTTCATATACCTAGGCAATAATTAGATTCGTTAAAACTTGTAGCCTATCAACTTTGACATCAACCCCGAATGACTGCGAAAGTCACAAAGGGCGACGAGGGTACTTCCTCGTCACACTTTGTAACTTACGAGCGAAAGGCCCCCAGAAGCAGCCATCACAGAGCCACCTCTGAGATCTCGAGTGACCTCAGGGCCACACGTGATGGGGCACCACTATCCCACCTTGCCCCTCCACGCAGATTAACGCTCGCCGCGCGACAGTCGATCTGATACGTTCAATTCTCAAGAGATGGACGTTAATCGCTTAATGAAGTACAGAACCAAATTTATTGCAATGTGGGGGGCGTATTGTCACTTTCTGACCAGCCCATAGTGGACATCTGTGAAAAACAGCTTCAAAGCTCATCGGATTCCTCCAGTCTAAATAAAGATTCAGATTCTGGTATTTCCTGTGCAGTCATTGCCGATCAGGCTGGGACCATCGGTTCGATACACTTGAGAGCCCGGATTAATCACGAATGAATGAAACTTGGATTTGCGCCCAGGGTCTCACACGGTGAAGGTTCAGTGCTCTGACTTCTAAGCAGAGGACGCAAACGGGTTTTGATTCCTTACCCGTACCCGTACCCGGCCGCACCAGGGTCGCAAACGGGTACCGTACCCAGCCGGGTAAGGGTACGGGTTACCCGATACCCGTACCCTACCCAATACCCGGCCGGGTACGGGTAGCCGGGTACGGGTAGGGTACGGGTATCGGGTACCCGATTGCGACCTCTGGGATGACGCCATGTTGGAAGGCGCGGGTGGGTTGATTCTAGGAACTTGAATTGTGAGAAGAGACAAGACGTTGGGAAATGAGTGACAAACGGTGACTCACCAGTGACTCACGGCCTACCCGTACCCGTACCTGGCCGGGTACGGGTAGCCGGGTATCGGGTAGGGTACGGGTATCGGGTACCCAATTGCGACCTCTGGGATGAAGCCATGTTGCAAGCGCGGGTGGGTTGATTCTAGGAACTTGAATTGTGAGAAGAGACAAGACGTTGGGAAATGAGTGACAAACGGTGACTCACCAGTGACTCACGGCCTACCCGTACCCGTACCCGGCCGCACCAGGGTCGCAAACGGCTACCCGTACCCGGCCGGGTATGGGTAGATGGGTATCGGATAGGGTACGGGTATCTGGTACCCGATTGCGACCTCTGCTTCTAAGTCACTTGGCCACCAAGACTGTGAAACTCAAGAGTCCCGTAATGAGCCCCTTTGAACAATGATCAAAATGCAACTGGCATTCGTGAAATCAACAATGACCAACCGCGCCCCTGGTTTACAAAACTTAAAGCATCCACGATGAACGTTGTATCAGCCCTGTCCACTCTCACAATTAGCTTAATAAGATTCATCCATTACCACGTGGAAATTCGGCATAATTTCAATGACAGAAACCATCAAAGGAATTACTAGAGACTATCAATACGTCGCTGATCGCACCATCACATTACCTCGTGCCATGGCGGTGAGATATTAACTACCTCGCCTGGTATGAACGACGTCGTGGGTTCAATTCCGACCCTGACGCCTGTTGTATATTTGGAGTTTGCATGTTCTCCCCGTGGTTGCGTGGAATTTTTCTCTGGGCCCTTCGGTTTTTCCCTCCACATTTAGACTCAACATGCATTTATCATATTTGGCTGCTATACATTTTCACGTAATAAGCCACTTTATTGAGCGAGCATTTGTGGCCAGTGGGTGGGCCTTACCTAGTAGCCAACTCGAACAACGCCTCAAACCACTTACAAGCTCCTCAGTACATCACTGACCCAACCGCCCCATCACTGACACCTCCAAACACCAACCCCATCATCACAAGATCAGCTCAATCAACATGTCACTGACAGACTCTGCGATCCTTCTCTGAATGTGTGTCCCATCATCGAAACCTCCTTAATCGCTATCCGCAACAAAACACCGTCACTGTGTCTTACAAACAAATCAACTCCATCCGCACCACCAACTCCATCAACGTCACAAATTCTGCAACCACCACCACCCACCCAATCACCACCCTCATCCACCAACAACCCCATAACCCAACAAAGCCCCTCAATCACCCACATCATCGACCTCTCCATCTCACTCACCCACCCAACCACCTGATCACCTCCTTCACCCATCCACACATCAGCAATCTCGCCATTCCAACTGCGACCTCTGAGTATCACTCACTCCTCACCAAAGGTTCCCCACGTAACATACTTAGTGAAAGTGCTGTGTGCGAACACCTATGAAGGACGGTACAGCACACAAGGAGTTTGATGGCCAATACCACGCCCGGCCGCCTTTGTCTCCCCAGCGGCGATATTTACACACCACCCAGTTGCTCATTTGAGGCCGAGTCGACCTAGGCGAGGCCCAAGACGGGTTCAAATAATCGTCACTGTTGTTGGCTGTGAGCATGCAGCGCGCTAACCGCTACACTACCGCTCCCCTACACGCACCCAGGTGACCCCCCCCCCCACCTCAACACACCTTGGGTAGCTCTGTGCACTGCCGTATGCTCCGCACCATCTCCTTGCCTCCGGGATGGACCCGGCCCACGTGGCTCCACATGCGCTCCCACGTGCTCTTGTCCAGAGGGATGCCGCTTCTGTTCACGTAGAAGAGGGACCCGCCACCCACTCCCTCCCTGCTGTTGTCATCCTCGTCCCCAGAAGCGCTCATTCCTTCCTCGGCTGGGCCAGGTCGACGAGCTGCCACCACCTCCTCCACCACCACGACCACCTTTTCCTCCTCCTCCTCCATCACCGCCCGCTCCTGCTGTGGAGCTGCAGACACGTCCGCTTTAGAGGGGACCGCAGATCGATCTCTGGCTCCTGGCATCGTTGCTGGTGCCGCTTTTCCCCTGTTTGCCCGTTTTGCCTGTCTTTGTATGTCTGCGTGTATCGTTGTGTATGGGTGCCTGTGCGTGTCCGTCCGTCTTTGTGTCTCTGTATATGTAATATATCTATCTGTGTGGGTCTCTGTCGGTGTCCGCTTGCCTTTGTGTGTGTCTGTGCGTCTGTTTCTGGTTGCCAGTGTCTTAAGTGCCCCCTGTGTCTGTCAGTGGGTATCCGACCAGGGTCTTGGTGGTTTGTCTTTCTGTGCTTCTCGGTGTCCGTCTGCGAGTCTGGATTTCTCTTTGTCAACTTAATTTCTGGGAGGAGGAGTGAGAGGAGGAGGAGGTCTCTGTGTCTTGCACCTCCCACGACGTCCCAGGCCCATCCCTCTGTGTGTTGTGTGTGTGTCGAATTTGTGTGTACGTGTTGTGTATGTGTGTGTGTTGAGTTTGTGTATATGTACTCTTAGTTTTTTCGGTAAAGTCACGTAGGTAAAAAATGAAATTCAAATTAATAAAAAAAAATCAGGTGGGACCGTCACGGCTGGCTGTGACTGTCCCACCTGATGACGGAGACTTGTGTTGCCTCCGAAACGTCGTGATTTATTATTATTTTATTTTTTATTAATTTTAATTTCATTTTTTACCTACGTGACTTTACCGAAAAAACTAAGAGTATGAATCCTTGCAGTCACGAAAGCTTCAAATGTAGAATTTGTGTATATGTGTTGTGTGTGTGTGTTCATTGTGAGATGTATATTGAGTGTGTTTGTGTTATCTGTGTTTGAGTGTACCCGTTAAGTGTGTTATGTGTGTTGAGTGTGTGTGTGTTGTGTTCTCTGTGTTAAGTGTAGTATGTGTGTTGAGTGTGTGATGTGTGTTTAGTGTGTTGAGTGTGTGGTGTGTACTATACTGAGTATTTTTGTGTTGTCTGTGTTGAGTGTGTGTGTTGAGTGTGTGTGATGTATGTGTGATGGTGAGTTTCTGTGTTGAGTGTGTGTGATGGTGAGTATGTGTTGAGTGTGTGTGATGTATGTGTGATGGTGAGTGTATGTGTTGAGTGTGTGGTGTGTGTTGTGTGTGTGGTGTGTGTTGAGGGTGTATGTGTGTTGTCGGTGTTGAGTGTGTGTTGTGTGTGTGTTGAGTGTGTATTGAGTGTGTGTGATGTATGTGTGATGGTGAGTGTCTGTGTTGAGTGTGTGTGTGTTGAGTGTGTGTGATGTATGTGTGATGGTGAGTGTCTGTGTTGAGTGTGTGTGTGTTGAGTGTGTGTGTTGAGTGTGTGTGATGTATGTGTGATGGTGAGTGTCTGTGTTGAGTGTGTGTTGTGTGTGTGTGTTCAGTGTGTGTGTTGAGTGTGTGTGTGTTGAGTGAGTGTGTTGAGTGTGTGTGTTGAGTGTGTGTGTGTTGAGTGTGTGTGATGTATGTGTGTTGAGTGTCTGTGTTGAGTGTGTGTGTTGAGTGTGTGTGGCTGTGTGGTGTGTGATGGTGAGTGTGTGTGTTGAGTGTGTGTGTGTTGAGTGTGTGTGATGTATGTGTGTTGAGTGTTGAGTGAGTGTGTTGTGTGTGGCTGTGTGGTACACTCTTAGAGCCCCCCACCTACCTGTCACCGCTGCGGTAGAGTCACACCAACATTCCGGGTACGCACAACCCTTTAACCACCGACTGTTCATTCATTAATCATTAATATCCACAGCCTACAAGTCTCTCTTGTCCAAGTCACACTTTGACACGTGAATGTAATATTACACTCGCACAGCAAGTTACGTGTACCTGTGTGTGTGTATATGTGTGCCTGTAGGCATGTAATACATATGTATCAATGCTGCAACGTCTAATGAACTGAAGCTACATTTGGTATGACCTGTGTATTGTATAGGTTACGTCTCATATCTACTGTGTGTGTATGTTGCGATGGTTGTTGTGTGTGTACTGTATATTGTACAGGTTGCGTCTATTCTATATGCTGTGTTTCTTCTTGTATAGCTTGTGTGCGCTGTACCGACTGTGTGTGTGTATTGTACAGGCTACGGCTATCCGCTATGTGTGCTGTTGCTGGCTGACTGTGTGTGTGTCTGCTGTTGTACAGGCTACGGATCTGTATATGTTCTGCGGATCTGCCTGCCGCTACCCCACTATGATGTGTGCTGTTGCTGGCTGGCTGGCTGTCTTACAGGCTATGCGTGCCTGCCGGCGGCGTTGTATACAGCAAATTTAACGCACAAAAAAATGCACCGGGGGGGGGGGGCAGGCATCCAACAGCAACCCAGCGAACAGCTGATGGGGCCGGCAGGGCGTTTCCAGCCTCCACTATTGGCCGTGACGCTCGCCACGTTGGGAATGCCCCGACTGCTCCATTGGTCCGGTCGGAGCTTCCTCGACGCGGTCGTCGTCCACTCCCCTCCGAACCGGGCATGACATCACCATAACATTATAATGAATCCCCTGCGACGGTGCATTTGTACGCGCCCGGCTCCCCCCCTCTCCCCTCCAAGATGTTGTCGTCTTACTGTTGTTGTTGTTGCTGTTGTTGTTGTTGTGACAGCGTACGCTGGTTTTAACCGAAGGCAAAGTCTGTCTCGTCGAGTCGCGTGGCTCTGTCTTAGGAGGGTCTTGCCAAGTTTGCTTCTGCTCGCAGTGTAGGGGGCGATCAGTGTGCGTTGAGTCATTCGCTGTGTATTTTTTGTGTTCTTTCTTTAAAATTTAGCAAATTTGCCCCGTGACGCAGGCACGGGGTGGCCTACCCCTTGCGAAGGATATCACGGAGATCTGTAACGTCCCCTGTGAAGCCGAAAGCAGACGGCGCGTTGTAATGTGGCTTTTTTTTCTTAAGGTTAATATTAAGCCCGCAGTAATAACCAGGGCGGCCGCTGGATTCGAACCGTGTAACCCCTTCCCTGGAACAAGCGGTGAACGCGCTGTAGCTGGGGCCCGGAATTGGCGGTGGGGGCTGGTGGTGGTGGTGGTTTGTGGATTGTTGGTGGAAAAATGTGGTCACTCAAACATCCAGACGAATGCACTGGATCTCTGAAGCTCAGCAGCTTTGAGCCTGGATAACGCTTGAATGGGTGACCAGCACGCACCGGCACAAAGAGTGGTGCAGCAACGTTGTTGTACTGTACTCTAAGCTCGCACGTCTATGCTCCCCGCTGTCACCGATCCGACGACCTGCATTCCATTCCCGGATTCGGTTAACTTCATTCCCGTACGGTGCGAAAGAAGGTGAACATACATACAGACTGAGTGATGTCTGAATCAGTCCTGGGTGCTCCCCTCACCCCTTCACCAACCTGAACTTACCAGGCGGGTGAAGTATGGTCAAATAACTCCCCCCCCCCCCCCTGGGATAACGTGGGGATGCTTTCATCCAGTCGTGGGGTTGAGTAAGGTCGGCGCGTCGTACGTTGCAATTCGAATCGAAATGGATTCGTTTTGTCTTGCTCCATCTCCTTTGTACCGTCTGTACTGCATGTCTCGTGTGTACTGCCCGTCTCGCTTGTCTCGGCCGGGTCGTATCGTGTGTATCGTCTGCAGTGGCTGTCTCGTGTGTACTGTGTCCTGCACTTTCTGTCTCGAACTCTCGTCTCGACTGCGTGCCGCGTTGTTTCCCTCATTCCGATCAGTGTCCCTCAACGTATGAAATTGAACATACATTTTGTCAATTTTGTCCAAAAATGTGCTTCCTTTTTAACATTCCTCCGGTTTGCCGAAAATCCAAATCAATTGACATTTGCCCACGTGACAATTTGATTTAATTGGCTCTGTCGGGTGTTGTAGGGTTACAATATTTATGTTTTACATGAGACCTACACTACCTACTCCAAAATAATCGAATCATACGCCGTAATATTGGTCGTACCTATAAAACGAAATGGAATACAGATTGCTAGAATCGATAACAACACACTTAAACTCACGGTTCAATAGACGTGTCGATATTTATGGGCGCCGCGGTGGAAATATGTTAACTCCCTCCCCTGGCATGCAGGAGGTCGTGGGTTCGATCCTGACCCTGTCGCCTGTATATTTGGAGTTGCATGTTCTCTCTTTCCCCGTGGAGAGAGAGGGAGAAACACGCGTTTCGAGTATTTGGCCGCTATACACATTTACACATGATGAGCCACTTCGTTGAGCTATCATTTGTGGCCAGGTCGCCTTTTAAAAAGATCTGTATAGCTCAGTGAGCCTTACCTGGTGGAATAAAACTCGGTTTAGGAAGGTCATTAATCCTTTCGGTCATACCTGTTCCTAAAAAAACACCCCAACAACCTGTAGTATGCATCCCTGTTCCTGATCTTAAAGGTGCATTGAAAAATGATAATACTCCGATTGATACTCCTGCTGTTGTGGAGTGACTCATGCAGCCAGCTATGGCTGCAGGGTTTTGGTGGTACATGTTGTTTATGCCATTTATTGTGAAAATTCCGTCACAGTTCCTATGATCACTGTTTCATTGCTTTCATGGCTTTATTTTGGTGATTTCGAAAAGTGTATTGGTTTAGCCATATTTGTTTATTGTAGTACAGAGTTAGACAGATGGCCTTAATCTAAGTTGTCTTGTGGTTGTTGTTGTTGTTTGACTTGCATCCCACTGGGATTTTTGCACACAGCGTTGGTGTACGGTGATTTTTTTTTCTGCAATATTTTGCTGTCTTTTCTTGGATTTTCTGTTTGCACTCAGTCACATATTCACTTTAAGATTTTTTTGTTCATGTTTTAGTTTTTTGTTTGTTGCGGTTGCACCCGATTCAAGAGCCGAATGGTTCACAGGGCTCTATACCTAATACATGAACTTGAACTTACTCTCTGGTGAACACCGCCCTCTAGCGACAAACGGGATCTTAGCCAGGTAATTGGCCAGTCAGTGGCAGAGGTCGCAACCGGGTACCCGATACCCGTACCCTACCCGATACCCGGCTACCCGTACCCGGCCGGGTACGGGTACCCGTTTGCGACCCTGGTGCGGCCGGGTACGGGTAGGCCGTGAGTCACGGGTGAGTAACCGTTTGTCACTCATTTCCCAACGTCTTGTCTCTTCTCACAATTCAAGTTCCTAGAATCAACCCACCCGCGCCTGCAACATGGCTTCATCCCAGAGGTCGCAATCAGGTACCCGATACCCGTACCCTACCCGTACCCGGCCGGGTAGGGTAGGGTACGGGTACGGCCGGGTACGGGTACCCGTTTGCGACCCTGGTGCGGCCGGGTACGGGTAAGGAATCAAAACCCGTTTGCGACCTCTGGTCAGTGGGTGGAGGGTGGGGGTATTCGTGGCCCCCCTCTTTGTAAGAGAGACCTGGGATGGGTGACCTGTGATCATAACGTGGGGGTGGTGTTAATGGCACAGATCCAGTAGCCGAGGAAAGACCCTTCTGAAGCAGACTCGTCAGTGAGAGTTTCCTAAATACAATGGACATTATTCATCAACAGTCTATCGTCACCCGTTCTCCATTATCACGTTTATATTATCAGCACCCGTCTTACATCATCATTAGTTCTCCATCATATTCATCAGCAATATCAACCAGCCATCATCATCATCACCCGCCCTCAATCATCGTCATCATCATCACCACCTGTTCTTCATTGTCATCATCCATCAAATGGGAGTTGTAAAGATTCAATTATTACGATTCAGGGTCGTGATTCGAATCAGGAATCGATCGTATGTCTAAGTATTGTGATATGATGCGCGCTAATCAATAGTAATGCACACGTGATTGGACGTGTGCTGAGTGATCTCAATAATCCATCGATTAACCGATGCATCGGTGCACCCCTGTAATCAATCACCGGGAAGGCGAAGATTCGCACGGTGGTCATGTAAATCGTGGGTCCAAGTGCAGTCGAACGTGACATCTAGGACAGAGGTCGGCAACCAAAGTAACGAGAATTTTTTTTCTCATCATCACCATCATCATCATAGGCCTTTGTGTCTCGAGAGACAGGTTTGCCGTGCTTTCACCTAGGACAGGGTGGGGAACGTCCGGCCCGCGGGCCATATAAGGCCCGCGAAATCATTTGGTCTGGCCCTGCCAAGGCAACCGCAGGCGGGACTCGAAATTCAATAACTCTAGGAGCAAACCTGGAAAAGCAGTTGCGAGTAGCAGCAACATCATCAATACCAGCTAACATCACACGCCTCGCCAAAGAGAAGCAGTTCCAGCCATCACAATAGGGGTGAGTTAATGAAATGTTTGACCAAATATAACAGGCTCATTTTGAAGTTGATAATTTTGTATGGCCCGCGAATGATGTTATAAATATCCAAAATATCCCTTGGCAGAAAAAAGGTTCCCCACCCCTGACCTAGGACATGGCTGCAGGCTAATCGGCGAGGGTAAGAAGTCGAGCTGCTACTCGTATTCTCAGGTGGAACCGTCACAGCCCGACAGCTGTATCAAGTAAATGAGAGATTACAGGAGATACCACCTGAAGACGGAAGCTTGTGTTGCCTCCGAAACGTCGTGATTTTTATTTTATTTTACTTTTATTAATTAAAATTTTTTACCTACGTGACTTTACCGAAAACCCCTAAGAATATGAATCCTTGCAGTCACGAAAGTTTCAAATCTCGAGCTGCTACTCGTTGATGGGTGGTTCATTGGGGCTGTGCGTAGGGCAGAGGCGGAACAACATTTCTACCTTGCCCGACTCCACTCTCCTTGGATTCGCCACTGACGAAGGGAGAGCACTGGTGTCTGACCCCAGTGCCAGATGAAGCTAATGCAGGGCCTGTAGCATGTGTTATAAAGGGGCCCTAAAAAACACATGAATATGAAAACACAATATTTTACTTGCATAGTAAAGTAATTGTTTTAGATTTGGAATTTTCGTGACTGCAAGGATTCATACTCTTTGTTTTTTTCGGTAAAGTCACGGAGGTAAAAAATGTAAATAAATTAACTCACGCCGAAGGGAAGTTACAACTGATGACGGAGGTTTGTGTTGCTTCCGAAACGGTGTGTTAATTAATTTAAATTTTTTACCTACGTGACTTTACCGAAAAAACCAAAGAGTATAAAGTAATTGTATTTTTTCATTTGCTATACAGCCAGACACTACGAAAAATCGCTAACCTTAAATACCCAATCGTTCATAAAAGTTGAAGGCAGTATAGTACTATGGTAATAGAGCAAGTGCAGAATCACTGAACCGAAATTGATAGTACTCTTTGGTTCTTTCGGTAAAGTCACGTAGGTATAAAATAAAATACATCACGACGTCTCGATCGCAAAACAAGCGACCGTCACCAGGTGGAACAGATACAGCAGGAGAACGCCTGACATAGAAGCTTCAAATCAAGATCGAAATTGATAGCTTGAAAGCATTTAGCGCGGGGCCCTTGAAAGTGCGGGGCCCGTAGCATACGCTACTTTTGCTACTAGGATAATCCGGCACTGTCTGACCCGACAAGTCGACTCAAGGCTAGGGAAAGAACTCGTGTTCCGTTGCATAGCTGCCTCGAGTTGAGAGGAGGGCTCGTGGTTCATTGGCGAGTCGGTTCAATGGTTTTTGCTCGAGCACGGGTCGGCAAAGCAAAAGAATAAGAAGAGCCATTTTTTTCGAATTCGCTCAATGAATAAATAACGAGTCACGAGGCAGTCTTTAAGGAGCCGCATGCGGCTCCGGGGCTTCAGCAGAGGTCGCATACGGGTTTTGATTCCTTACCCGTACCCGGACGCACCAGGGTCGCAAACGGGTACCCGTACCCGGCCGTACCCGTACCCTACCCGTACCCGGCCGGGTATCGGGTACCTGATTGCGACCTCTGGGATGAAGCCATGTTGCAGGCGCGGGTGGGTTGATTCTCGGAACTTGAATTGTGAGAAGAGACAAGACGTTGGGAAATGAGTGACAAACAGTTACTCACCAGTGACTCACGGCCTACCCGTACCCGTACCCGGCCGCACCAGGGTCGCAAACGGGTAGCCGGGTATCGGGTAGGGTACGGGTATCAGGGTACCCGGTTGCGACCTCGGGGCTGCAGGTTTCCGACTCCTGGGTTAGAGCCAGAGCAATCGCGTTCAGTTGGCTATATAGTTGCTTAGGGTTAAGAGTGGGGCTCGTGTTAGGCTGGCTAGTCAGCTAAAAGTCGAGGTAGTCTTGACTTAAAGCTTTCGTGACTGCAGGAATTCACGTAGATAGGTTAAAATAAAATAACAAAAATATTTTTTTGTTATTTTCTTTCAACCTATCTACGTGACTTTACCGAAAGACCCAAAGAAACATGAATTCCTGCAGTCACGAAAGCTTTAAGTCAAGACACTAACCAAAAAATATATTTTTGTTATTTTCTTTGAACCTCTCTACGTGACTTTACCGAAAGACCCAAAGAATAGTCGAGATAGTGTCTGATCGAGTTGATGGCTCCGCCCCCAAACTGCCTGCCACGCCCCCCGCCACTCCTCCGTTCGGCCGTTGCAGTTGTTGGACACCGCGTTCCGTCTCCCCAGAGCTCGCGTTTGCAACTTGGCAAGAGGAGGCAGCCGCGATGCCTCGCGGCTTCTTGGTGAAGCGGCGAAAAGAGCGCGCGGTGGCGCCGGCGCACAGATGGGAATTGTGCGGGTTCCATCATTCAGAGCAAGGAGAAACTCCTCGAGCAGAGGCAGCAGCAGCAGCAAGAGCGTCAGAAGTAACAGCATTAGAAGCAGCAACAGCAGCAGAATTAGAAACAACAGCAACAGCAGCAAGAGCAGTCCACGCATACCGTGCGCGTGGGGACATTCCTGCATGCACCCCCTTTTTGTCCGTGGTGGATCTCTCCCCCGCCATACCTCTTCCACGGAGCAACGTGGCCGGAGGAGACGATTATGACGACGACGACGATGATGGTGACGGTGGTGGCCAGCGGAACATATCGGCTGGCGACCTCGACTCGACGTCACAAATCAGCTCTCTTACCCTGCCGCCTGTGCCGGCATTGAAGGAGATCTCTGCGAAGAAATTCGAGAATAAGAGGATGAGGCCGGTGAACAAGTGCCAGGGCGACAGCGCGCCCAATAATCAGAAGACGAAGAAGCCCAAATTGGTGGAGGACGCGCTGTCCTCACCCGTGTTGGGTCTCGTGATCACCACGGAACCCTGGTGCCGAGTCGAGCCCACGGGCTCGGTGGGAAGCTTCGTGTGCCAGCTCTGCGGGCTGTCGTACGAGGACCCATCGGCGCTCGCTCGGCACGGGTGCTCGCGCATCGTCCGCGTGATCTACACGTGCCCCGAATGCGACAAGAGCTTCAGCTGCTCGGCAAACTTGGCCTCTCACCGCCGGTGGCACCGGCCGCGTCTCGGCAACGACGAGGTCGAGGTGAAGGAGAACCGGCGGCGAGGGGGCGCCCTGGAGTGCCCGCGATGCGGCAGAACTTTCAGCAAACGCGACTCGCTGCTTAAGCATTTGGCCGCTCTGCACGGCGACTTTCAGCACCAAGGACAGCAGCGTCCGCAGCACTATCAAGTACAGCGTGCTCAGCAGCAGCAGCACTAGCAGCACCATCAAGTACAGCGTGCGCAGCAGCAGCACCATCAAGGACAGCGTGCTCAGCAGCAGCAGCACCATCAAGGACAGCGTGCGCAGCAGCAGCACTAGCAGCACCATCAAGTACAGCGTGCTCAGCAGCAGCAGCACCAAGTGCAGCGTGCTCAGCAGCAACAGCATCAGGGACAGCGACAGGACCACCACCAGGGACAGCGACCTCCGCAGCAACAGCATCAGCAGCAACAGCTGCAGTAGCAGCAGCAGAAGTTTGCGAGCGATGCGCAAACAGCGCCGCATATTGCCCAAAGCTGCCCGAAGCTGCTCTTTGATCCGGAGCCGAGCTTAGCCGTTCGGGAGGTTTTTCTGAAATCGTTCGGTGGTGCGGGGGGTTTGTGCTGAGTTCCAGACCGGGTTTTACCAGCGCCCGGAGCCACTTCACGACGCCGACGCAGATACACCCACGGCCTCACGCAGTTCCAGACGACGTCTGTAACTTGCTCGGTTCCGACATGGGTTCTATATTATTTCGTTCGTTCTTTCCGTTTGTTCGATCTATCTATCGTGTATTCGTTTCTTCTAACGCTGATTTCTAAAGCTATGTTTCAGTCGATGGAATTCGTTATCATCATCATCCTTTGAAAAACCACATCTCAGGCTTTGATATGAACTGAAAAGTATAAACTTGATCATGTTTATGCTCTTGTATGTAATGCTCCAAGTTGTTGATACTGTTTGAATCTGCGTTAGATGAAGGTTTATGAATTTTGTTTGTCAGAATTTGCTTGCAATACAATAAATTTACCTTTTGAGAAAATTCTACTTTGATGCGGTCTGTATGCATTGCTGTATGGTGACATTCTCTGCAGTATAGGTTAATACTGTAATGATAATTTAATCTACGTATCGACGTAAACGTCACCTGGTCTCAATCATTTTTCGGGAGGGTCATAAACTGGGATGTGTGAAAATTCAATTTGCAACTGGAAGGAGCGTCTTGCACACAAGGAGTGGAAACCGGAGGCCACGCATACAAGGTGTCACGTGAAGCTGCGGTAGGCTGGTGGGTGAGTAGGTGCGTGTGCGAGTGGGTGTGTAGGTGGTGCACCTAGCCTGGCACAAGCGCCGTGGTGATATCACCGCCGCTTAGTGGCAAAAGGCGGTTGTTGTTTTGGAGATGGGTGAAAGGGGGGAGGGGTAGTGTAGTGGTGAGCGCGCTGCGCTACAAACTCGGCGACCGGAGTTCGATTCCCGCTCACGGCCAAGACCAGTGACGATCATTTGAACCGGTCCTGGGCCTCCCCTAGGTCGACTCGGCCACAAATAAGCAGCTGGTGCGGTGTGTAAACATCGCCACTAGGGAGACAAAGGCGATCGGGCGTGGTGCTGGCCCCCCCGCCCTCTCGCGTACCATTCCGGCCTTAATAGGTACTCGCTAACAGCATTTACCCCAACAGTTTGTTGATGCTATAGGGAGATCTTTGTCTTGGGCGAGGGGTAGGTGGGTGAGCGGGTGAGCGGGTGAGTGGGTGAGCGGGTGAGTGGGTGAGTGGGTGAGTGGGTGAGTGGGTGAGCGGTTGGGCGAGTGCATCCTGGAGGATATTGGAGTACCAGAGGAGAACGTCCACGCATACAAGGGGCGGTGGGAGGGCAGGTGAGTATGTGGGTGAACAAGTGAATGAACGGGTGGGTGAGTGTGTGGGTGGGTGAGCGGGTGGATGAATGAGTGTGTGGGTGGGTGAGCGGGTGGATGGATGAGTGTGTGGATGAGTGTGTGGGTGGATGGATGAGTGTGTGGATGAGTGTGTGGGTGGGTGAGCGGGTGGATGAATGAGTGTGTGGGTGGGTGAGCGGGTGGATGGATGAGTGTGTGGGTGGATGAGTGTGTGGGTGAATGAGTGTGTGGGTGGATGCGTGTGTGGGTTGATGAGTGTGTGGGTGGATGAGTGTGTGGGTGGATGAGTGTGTGGGTGGATGAGTGTGTGGGTTGATGAGTGTGTGGGTGGATGAGGGTGTGGGTGGATGAGTGTGTGGGTGGATGAGTGTGTGGGTAAATGAGTGTGTGGGTGAATGAGTGTGTGGGTGGATGCGTGTGTGGGTGGATGAGTGTGTGGGTGAATGAGTGTGTGGGTGGATGAGTGTGTGGGTGAATGAGTGTGTGGGTGGATGCGTGTGTGGGTGGATGAGTGTGTGGGTGGATGAGTGTGTGGGTGGATGAGTGTGTGGGTGGATGCGTGTGTGGGTGGATGAGTGTGTGGGTGGATGAGTGTGTGGGTGGATGAGTGTGTGGGTGGATGAGTGTCTTGGTGGATGCGTGTGTGGGTGGATGAGTGTGTGGGTGGATGAGTGTGTGGGTGAATGTGTGGGTGGATGAGTGTGTGTGTGTGGGTGAATGAGTGTGTGGGTGAATGAGTGTGTTGGTAGATGCGTGTGTGGGTGGATGAGTGTGTGGGGCAGCCGTGTATTGTGTGCGAGCAGAGGTCACTGTGTGCGGTAGCAGGAGGCCACGAGAAGGCGTCTGGACGCGCAGAGGTCAGGGTGCCACATTGGCAAGGTCAAGTCACTGTCATTCATTAAGCAGAACCCGACAATGCGCGACAACGGCTTGTGGAATGGCAGAGCCAATGACAGCTGTTGCCACAAAGTTGCCCTTCCGATGAGGGTCAATATCACCGGTGGAGGTCGAGTACATGCAGGTGATTCCACCCCCTTAAAAAGGGTCGAATAGGGCATTTTCAACACCTATTCACTGCTGGATGAATGTCTCTCCAAGCTGTCGCCATCTCTCACTGTCTTGCGATGCGACAATCAATGTAGGTCCTGATTTTATCGTTCCATCTCCACGGTGGTGATGCCTCGGGTACGATCCATCATTTGGCTTCCGTTTCGTGCTTAGTCTCGACCACCAGCCATCATCCTGCCCAAGCCCAGTTTTGTTTAAGCCCCCCTTCCACCATATTAGTGCCCCCCCTTTGTACCCCCTTTCCATTCCGTTTGCTGTGTAACTGTGTTCGAAAACGACGCTGATGTCTATTGCGGTGCTCATAATGTCAAAGTAAGCACTATCTTTGTCTTTGTATGTTGCCGATGTTACTGAGAGGTTATAGCTACAGATAGCGACATCTATTTAGAGAGCAAGACACACACAGAGGCACAAGAAGAAACACACACAGACCGACACAGAAACAAGGGAGAGAAGATAAAGAAAGAAACAAAAAGACAAAGAGAGACGTGAACATAGACATGTGACATAAGAGATATAGACAGAGAAACACAGAGATAACGCTCTGAAAATATACAGAGACTAAGAGATATACAGAAAAAGAAAGACATCGAATGGAGGACGATATATTTGTAAGAAAGGACAGACAGACACAGAGACATCTAAGAAGGAGATAAGGAAAATGAGGTGAGATAAGAGAGAGAGAGAGACAGAGGCAACGAGATAGAGACGATGAGAGATACAGAGACAGAGGGGCCCAGAGGAAGAGAGAAAGAGAGAGGAGGGGGGGGCGTATGTGGCAGATGGCCAAGGCCTCTCCCGGGAGTGCCACGTGCCCGGGTCCCCAGTGAGATGCAGAGGGAATTTAAGGACAGGTGGTGGCTGAAAGTTGTGGTCGAAAGTTGTGGTTTGGGGGATTAGTGGTGGATGTAGGTGGGGAGGGAGCTTGTCGTTGGTAGTTTTAGCTGGGAGTTGGGTTGTTTGAAATTGGTGGTGTTTTGTGATAATCTTGATTGGTGGCGGTGGCTAATGGTTTACCGGGATTGATGGTGTCGTGGTCAGCACGCTGCGCGAAAATCCGGCGGCCCCAAGTTCGGCCAATATCAGTGACGATTGTCTGAACCCGTCCTGGGCCTCTCATAGGTCGACTAAGCCTTAAATGAGTACCTGGTGCGGTCGTGTAAATATCGCCACGGGGGAGATAAAGGCGGTCAGGCGTGGTGCTGGCCACTCATCCCCTCTTGTGCCGTGCCAGTCTTCATATGTGCTCGTTAGCAGCACTTCCCCCAATAGTTTGTTAAGGCTAGACGGGACATCTTTGTTTTGGTTACGGTTTAAGGATGGTGGTGGTGTGTGTGGTGTTGGGTCGTGGTGAATGAATTGGGAGTAATAGTTGGAATTTAGTGTAGTTGGAGGAGGTGGTTGGGAAAAATAACGGTGAAGGGTTGGCAGTGATTAGAGTGTCTGATGTTTGGGACGTGGTTATCAGCAATGGTTCAGGTGTTGATGGGAGGTGCTGCTGCTGGTGGTGTTTGCGCTAGTGGTTAGAGAAATGTTAGCGGTAGAGGTGGTGGTTGGGATGATGGCTGGAAGGGGTGGTTGGGCTGGTTGGATGAAGTGGTGGTGGTGGTGACGGTTGGGCTGGTGATTGGACACGGTAGTGGTGGCTGGGCGGGTACAGAATCTGTTGATTGTGGTTAGATTACAATGTACGTTGAACTTATTTCGCACCGTACGTAGCCAGCCGTTCTAATCGGAGGTGCGGCAAAAAGAGATTTGAGCCAGGGACGCGAGTCATCGAATCATCATTGCATGGGAGGGTCTGGAGACACGTGGCGAGGCGTGGTGTCGAGTGTCAGGCGTGATGCATGGGGGGGGGGGGGGCGGAAAAGAGCTGTGTGTGTTGGGGGGGGGGCATTTATATTGTCAGGGGTGGGGTGTGTGTGGGGTGATCGCTATGGGTAATGTGACTGGGCGGGCGGGGTAATTTAACGGCTTAACGGTCGCGTGTTCTAAAAGAAAACAAAGAACCCAACTGACATATGCGTTTGGCTGGAATCCGTAGTTTTTCCCTTGAATTTACAGCCCCTTCTTTTTTTATCAATCCACTGCTGGATGAATGCGTCTCCTCCGCACCGTGTCGATCATGGGGGTTGAACCATACTTCACCACGCTGGTCAGTGACCGGGAATCGAACTCAGGTGGCCGCTAGGTTCGTAGTGCAGTGCACTAAGTAATGCAGCAGTACCATATACGACAGCATTAACGGTATGTATTAGTAAGTGGAACTAATTACAACGAAATAATTATAATTGGTGGAAAATTGAGGAGCGCACGTTTGTACGTGTTTAGCACGATACTTAAAGCATGTAGAACTGGTGACTGACCCTGCCGTATGCATCGTGACTCCCCAATCATCAATCATCATCAATCATGCACCAGGCAGTGCCTGTCCGCTGCTGAAAGATTCTACAGATATAACAATGCGCAATCTTCCGAATCGTTGTACCCCCAATCAATCAACCATCCATCATTACCATCACCAATCATCAGCCAGTATCTATACACGAAGGCGTCCCCATGCCGTCTCCATCCCCTGCGGTCTTTCAATTCCACAGTCCAAAAGCCGACCAGATCGCCCCATCTCTGCAGTGGTCACCCGTTCAAGCGACGCCGTCCTACGTATCTACCGCTGGACGAAGTCCTCTCTAGAAATGTCAATTCATAATCTGCTGCATCATCGTAACACTCCTGGTGGACATAATCAGCGAATGCAACAAAACCACATGTCGCGTTCAGCAAGTCAACATATGTTAGTCCACCTCTCCGCCCTCTGTGTTGTTCGCCATAATGTCCTACGTTTTCACTCCACGGTGCTGGGAACTTCTTCAGGCACTGAGCTTCAGAAGAAAATTCCCAGCATGTGGACCGAAACGTCGGGCTTCGTGTAGAACAACACGCGGTACAACCCGAAAACAAGTCATAAATACGGCGCAACCGCGAAACCTCACGAAGTGGTAACGCTCTCTCTCTCGCCCAACAAAATAGCGAGATGATCATACGTCCGGCCACACATGCATGCAACTGGCAGGACAATATGTAATAGGGCCGAGCACGTGAAGGAGGCAAGGGGGAGAGGGCAGGGGGAAGGGAGGAGAAAGAAAAAGGGACGCTGAGAAGCGCCGCGTTCTTGTGGACCTCGCCATCTGGCAAGAGAGTTCAATTCGTGGGTCGTCTTTCAGTCCCCTTCTCCCGACCCACCGATACATCTGGCCCGCGCCCGCGGGCATTAACCCTTTCCGCAGCTTGCCCGCACAGCAAATGATGGTGATGATCAATAATAAGAATTATGTCCTCAATGTCCGCATCTCCGATTAATACGGTTGGCTACGTACGGTGCGAAAGAAGTTCAACATACATACATAGAGGTTTTAAACAGTGCGCACTGCATGCTGTGACACGGTTATTTAAAAAAACGATTATAGAACAAAAATACTGGAAGTTTACAAAGAACTATGGAGTGCTTCCGGATTACTATACAATTACTTTGCAGTAGAGAACGAGGAACACGTGGATTAGAGAATATTCACATGTTAATGATTGTTATTATTCAAAATGTCAATACAGATCAGTGGACTTCGGCAGGGCATGTCGCCAGGAGCGATAATGACCGGTGGTCAAGTGGCAGACAAGGAATCGCAACGCATCCGAGAGGACGCCCATCGGGGAGATGGAGCGATGACCCCTCGTGTATTGGTGCGAGGTGGATTGTTGCATCGGCAGTGGATCGATCATGACTGTTGATTTATCCCGGTAAGTCTCACCGAGTTTTAAGACTCATTTTATCAACAGGGCCCTGCATTGAAATGTTTGGTCAATTCTTCCTTTGCCTCCGACCAAATCACCCTGAATGTGCATATATCGTCGGATTTCGCAAGCTAACGCGTAGCAAGGGTCGAGTCTGGTTCTTACTTGGATGTGATATTTCCTGGCAGTAATACCAGGTGTTATAGGCTTGTGCAGAGTGTCACCACTCAATGCGTGTTTGCTTCCACATCAAGGCCAACCCAGTAAAGGAATACACTCTGACCAGACATGCAACAATGAATCGACTTGAATAAAATTGACAATTACGCTCACAATACACGCATCGAGTCACGTGTCAAAGAATCAATTATTTAAGATTAAAATAAATATCCTACGAACATAACCTTAGGTATATAGAATGAACAAGGCGGGAACCAACTGGATAGTACAAAGGCGATAAAAAAAATTAAGTATATATTTTAAATCGATTTTAACTGTGGAAGTTAGCGGATGTTGAATATACGGTATATATGTATGTATGCAATAACAACAACCTTGGAATAGTCTCTAGAGTACAGACACTTCAAAAGTAACGCCACCGATACACTACATTTTTTATCGATCAATTTGAGACTAGCGGGCAGCCCGTCATATGAACGGGGCGAGGTAACATTTACATTTGCATGTCACTCAGCAGACCGTCGTTAGACATTCGCCACACAGTTAAACACGGAGGCTTTCGCGACCAATATTATTCATAATATAGGTTTTTGGGTCAGATCGCGTTATTTATAAATGTGTCGTAACCCTCCACCACCCGACACGGCCAAACAGTAAGTAAAAAATATGTCACGTTTTTCAAAGGACAACGTGACACATTTTTTACTTGTGTTGCAGTCGAAACGTCGTGAGAATTTGTATTGTTTTATATTTGTATCATTTTATTATTTCCCTTCTACGTCACTTTACCGAAAGAACCAAGAATATGAATCCCTGCAGTCACGAAAGCTTTACATCAAAACATTTTTTACTGTTTGGCCGTGCCGGGTGGTGGAGGGTTACAACACATTTATAAATAACGCGATCTGACCCAAAAACCTATATTATGATTCACCACACAACTGATGCTCAGCTGTCATCAACTCACCTAACACCCTCACCAACTTCTGCAATCCTCTTCGGGAAGGCCGTTGGGATGAAACGGCTCTCGATGCATTCCGCCCTATAAGCACGAGCCTATCCGTTGTATGATTTCTCACGCACCGTCAGCTTGTAAACGGTAGCGCGTATACACATACGCCTGGGCGGATAAACCGAAATTAACGGTTGGTTCAAAGGTAGAATTTTAACGAAATTTAAACCTCGTTTTCATAAACTACACAGCGTAAAGCTTTCAAATCGTTTATTGATATTAGTGGAGAGGTCTCTCGGAGGAGTAATACGCACAAAGATACATACAAGATTTAAAATTAGCCTCTTGTATATTTTTTTTCAAACAAACCTTCATCAATAAGTGTGACCTTGAAATTAAATATGTCATTGGCGACGTTTCGGGCAATGACCTGTTTTTCATCGCACAGCAATAATTAATCTCGTGCTTTTGCCCCACTGTCAACGCACATCCCAAATTAATTCGCTTATTATACAGATGACCCTTATTGTGCTTAGTCACAACAACTAATACTAACCTTGCAGCTCTCCAATCCACTGCTGGACTAAGGCCCTTTTTGCCACGCCGCGTGGGTCGTGGGGATTTGGTTTGACCATACTTTACCACGGCTGGTCACTGCTTTGTAATTACTTCAAAGGGAAGTCAGCTGCAGGTAAATTGTATACTTTTATTTGCACACAGCGTTGGTGCTTTTTCTGCAATATTTTGCTGTCTTTTCTTGGATTTTCTGTTTGCACATAGTCACATAGTCACTTTAAGATGTTTTCTTGTTCATGTTTTTGTTTTTTGTTTGTTGCGGTTGCACCCGATTCAAGAGCCGAATGGCTCACAGGGCTATACCAAATAAATGAACTTGAACTTGATACACAATAATCACAAACATATATGGGGGGGGGGTTAACATGTTGTATACTGTACTGTATACAAATATGTTATTATATACAGGAAATGAAAAGTAAGTAGAGTACTCGTTTCTTTAATTACACACAAATGTAATTTCATAAAGACGGCTTATATCACCTTACCAGAGGCAATGTGCTGGTGACAATGGTGATTGTAAGGCAATACGCGCGTGGGTGCGAATCATTGCATGCAATTCAGTCACGCCACGCGTCTAACTCATACACCTATTGCATTGGGACCCACGTATCGTAAAGAATACGGGTACGTACGTACATTGAACTTCTTTCGCACCGTACGTGGTCAACCGTGCCCATCGGAGGTGCGGTCCTTGCCTGACACATCTGGCCGTTCACAAGCAAGCCCGACTCTGCTGATAAGACACTGGTGCGCATACGTGTCAACCCATCCGGATTAGCCCGTGTTCTTGTACAGGGAAATTGAGTTTTGAGGTCCATACGGCATACAGCCGTTTCAATACGGGTACAAAAAAAATGTTGTGTCTATTTGTTTGTGTTTCTCCCTTGTGATGGGACTTTGTAGGATGAACGTTGAGATGTGTAAGCGGCAGGGGGTGACCAATAAGCTCTGAATTGATCTGTAATAAGGCAGGGCATTGATAAGGGGTTGACGGGTATGAGTTTGTCGAAACCGGTCCAGAGTTTGCTTGGATTGAACCAATGTTGCTGAAATTACCGCATGCACTTTCCCCAGACTCTCTGGTTGGTGTGACGGGTTGTGTGTAAGGATACTCTTGTATTTGTATGTGTAGGGACAGATGCAGTATATGGAGGAGATATTATGTCTCCGTATTTGCCGTGATAGAACACTAGTTGGTTTTAAGTTACCTTGTTTTTTTTACGGATCATTGTGTGCGGGTTAATTAACCTTAGATAATTATACAAATATGAAAACACGCAGCCATGCGACACTGTTGGGCCAAGTGCTGTTAGCGAGTAGCAGCTATGAAGGCCGGCACTGTGGGACACGAAGTGGTGGATGGCCAGCACCACGCCCGACCGCCCCGCCTCCATCTCTGGAGCGACCCTCTGGAGGACATTTAGCTTACCCCTTCCACGCTGGCAATAGGTCTTGCAAGAGGTGGGGGATACTCAGAGTTTACCCCACCATTGTGGTGAACCCATTATCACTGCTGGGTTTGGACAGAGGCCCCGGGGGAGGGATTAAAAAAAAAACTTGCAACTTTGTTTCTAATGCCACACCGGGAGATCGAATCGAACCTTTGGATTACAAGTCCCCGTGTGATATAACCGTTACAGGACTGCAGCGTCCAACTTGCAAAACATCTTAACAATAATAAATGACTGCTCATTTATCAAGCCGCTGCTGGATGGGAAAAAAAATTGAACAACGGAATTGCATCGATTGACAGAAAGATGGGTTAGAGAACATCGGCAACTAAAATTTGGAAAGAGCACCCCACGGGTATGTTATCAGGAGAGAATCTCGTAAGTTTGCCAAAAGACGACGATACAGGTCACATCCCACCTCCATTGAGAGTCTGGAGATAATCATGATTATTCCACATTCATATGACGGTGACCAGTACCGTCCATAACACAAGAATATTAACGGGGTGTTCTTTCTCTAAAGTGATGAGCTCGTGATGATACTTCCACATTTCTGTGAAAGTGACAGTCCATCAACAATGCAGTATACTCTCTATGAAGGGCTTACCATTTAAAAACCTTAGATAATGAACCTTTCTTATGATGTTAGCTACCTCGCCTGGTCTACAGGAGATGTTAACTACCTCGCCTGGTATACAGGAGATGTTAACTACCTCTGCCTGGTATACAGGAGATGTTAACTACCTCGCCTGGTCTACAGGAGATGTTAACTACCTCGCCTGGTCTACAGGAGATGTTAACTACCTCGCCTGGTCTACATGAGATGTTAACTACCGCGCCTGGTCTACAGGAGATGTTAACTACCTCGCCTGGTATACAGGAGATGTTAAATACCTCGCCTGGTCTACAGGAGATGTTAACTACCTCGCCTGGTCTACAGGAGATGTTAACTACCTCGCCTGGTCTACAGGAGATGTTAACTACCGCGCCTGGTCTACAGGAGATGTTAACTACCTCGCCTGGTCTACAGGAGATGTTAACTACCTCGCCTGGTATACAGGAGATGTTAACTATCTCGCCTGGTCTACAGGAGATGTTAACTACCTCGCCTGGTCTACAGGAGATGTTAACTACCTCGCCTGGTCTACAGGAGATGTTAACTACCTCGCCTGGTCTACAGGAGATGTTAACTACTTCGCCTGGTATACAGGAGATGTTAACTACCTCGCCTGGTCTACAGGAGATGTTAACTACCTCGCCAGGTATACAGATGTTAACTACCTCGCCTGGTATACAGGAAATGTTAACTACCTCGCCAGGTATACAGGAGATGTTAACTACCTCGCCTGGTATACAGGAGATGTTAACTACCTCGCCTGGTATATAGGAAATGTTAACTACCTCGCCAGGTATACAGGAGATGTTAACTACCTCGCCTGGTATACAAGAGATGTTAACTACCTCGCCTGGTATACCGGAGATGTTAACTACCTCGCTAGGTATACAGGAAATGTTAACTACCTCGCCAGGTATACAGAAGATGTTAACTACCTCGCCAGGTATACAGGAGATTTCGATTTAAAGCTTTCGTGACTGCAGGGATTCATCTTCTTGGTTCTTTCGGTAAAGTCACGTAGAAGGGAAATAATAAAATAATAAAAATAAAACATAATAAAATCAAATTCTTCACCCGAGGACGGCTGCTCGCGTTGTGGCCGAAACGTTGTGATAATTTTATAATGTTTTATTTTTTATTATTTTATTATTTCCCTTCTACTTTACCGAAAGAACCAAGAAGATATACAGGAGATGTTAACTACCTCGGTCCCACCTGATGACGGAGACTTGTGTTGCCTCCGAAACGTCCTGATTTATAATATTATTTTGTAATTATTTCTATTATTTTTGTTTTTATTATTTGTTTATTTTTACCTACATGAATTTACCGAAAAAACCTAAGAGTATGAATCCTTGCAGTCACGAAAGCTTCAAATCTAGAAATGTTAACTACCTCGCTTGGCGTTTGTAAAAATGATGGCCTATTCCAGGTCAAATAAAAAAAAAGTAAAAAAAAAGTTTTTTTTTTAAAGTTTACTTTCGTTCATTCCACGTGCCCATGACGGGAACCGGTCCATCCACAACCGCAGTGACCTCTCGCCACCAGAGCGCGGCGCTGTTCGGGGTCCGACTTCGGCAGCACCGCGGTTTTCGTTCTCTCCGCGTCAACAACAACAACACAACAACAACCACAACAACGAGGGGAAGAAGAAGCCAAGCGGGCATGCCCGGACAGTCCAAGGAGAAGAAAGACGAAGCCCACGAAGAAGAAATGGATCAAGAGTCGCCCGAGAATGAGGATAGTTCGGACGAGGAGAGCGGCAGCTCCACGGGCTCCGAGGAGGAGGAGGAGGACAGCTCGGGTAAGGTGGCTAGGAAAGGCGCTAGGCATCGTGGCGGCCTACTCGGTCACCTTTATTCCGTGTTTAATGTTGTTATATTTCACGATTGAAATACGTTCACGTGTTTGTTGAAAGTGTTTGTTTTGCGGGTTGTGTGTGTGTGTGAGGTTTGTTGGGTGTTTGCTTTGTAGAGACGGGATCTGACGGCTGGATGTGGTTCTAAAGTTGCAAGTGTTTATTTTGTCAGCCCGCGTTGCAAACGCTACGGAATATAACATTTAAACGTTTTACAAGTTTAACGAGTTGCCGAATGTTGGTGTTGAACGTATGGCGTTTTGTTGGCGACTCATGCGCTAACATGTCTGTAGATTGTGTTTATAAACTGCACATCGAGGAGCAAGAATCACGAGTGATCCTTGCTCCTGATGGAATTCCAATCATCTGTCGATCATCCGTAAATGCATTCGCACAAGCAAGTGCTGTTATGTTGCTGCAGAACGCTTAAATATATCTTTAGCTTCACTTTCGACGACGATTGTTTTCGTCGTTGTTGTTGTTGTTGCCCGGTGGCAAGGATTAATGCAGTGGATTTGTTGAATCTGTGCGGAGTTGTAAGCGTTTCCGCACGCGTTGAGCCAAACAAACTCTTACTACGGCAATTATATTAAACATCACAATGTAGCATGGGATCCTGTTGAACACGAACTAAGTCTTGAGGTTCAGTGAAATCCTCTTCGTCGATGCAAATGGAACATTATTTGCTTTCGTAAAACAATGAGTCTGTCCCGGGTGTATCCTAGTCATCGTCACCATCATTAACTTGATGAATTTTATAATCATCTCAGATCTTCATGGTGTATTATGAAGGCACACGGCACTGAGTATTTTGAGATGGAATACAAACAAACGTCTATCGTCGCGTTATCCGTTTCCAAATCCAGCTTCACAATTATTCCCCACTATGTTATTTGCATAATATAGCAAGCATGGTTTGTTTTTAACTCTTCCCTCTTGAATAATATGCTATTTTTGATTTCTTATTATTCAGGACTCTGCCCAAGGGCAGGTCCATGGCTCAAGAACCCCTCCTGAGATTGTATCCCACTCCTTGTTATTGGATGCAATGGAGAGAGTTGAACTCTCTGGCCCTTGCCTTCCTTCATCATCATCATCATCAGCAGCGGCGATTAGGGGATACCATCGCCAGATATAGTTTAGCATCATGGTCTAGACTAAGTTTTTTTATATTCTTGTTTTTTTTCGGCAAAGTCACGTGACTTTACCGAAAAAAACAAGAATATGAATCCCTGCAGTCCCGAAAGCTTTAAATCAAAATGTAAGTTTTTTTAAATATTTAAAGTAACATAAAATCAAAGTACACACATTCGTGTTTTGTTAAGCTTCTGTCAGTCTCAACCACTGTGTGTCTATATTCCTGTAAGAGAATGCGTCAGCTATTCACAAAAAAACAAGTTACCTGTTCGTGAAGGGGCTTCCCAGGGTTCGTATGAATAGACGAATTTTGGCTGCGTACATCTCACCTGCTTTGTTATTTGTGCTTCACGTGGCAGACATGAACGAGGAGGACTACGAAAGGCGGAGGACCGAATGCCTCAGTGAGATGTCTGATTTGGAGCGGCAGTTTTCGGACTTGAAGGAACAGTGAGTGCGGTTGTGAGAAATTAGTTCAACACATACATACATACGTATAATATTCCGTGATGTTGCCTGTGTCCTTGTCAGCCTGAGTGGGATCGCCGTTATTATTTATTCATAATGCCTATAACCAAATCACCCTGAATGCTCCCCATCTCGTCAGATGTCGGATGTTAAGCAGCTTTGTACCTGGATAGTGCTCGGATGGGTGACCGCCATGCACAGCAGATTGTCATAGCTTGGCTGTGCTACAATGTGGACAGCGGACGGCAGTGCAGGATAATCCATCGCCCTCCTGCGATTGTGCTCGCAGCTTTCGCGAATGTGCACTGAGCAGCGTGGTGAAGTAGGGTAGAACAAACGACATGATCGATCTGTCAAATGGAGAGGCCCTGATCGAACAGTAGTCTGACAAAAGGGCTGTGTATACAGATGCACCGATGTTTGAGATATTTTATAAAAGTAAAAATGCAATATACATTTATTATGATACTATTGTTATTTATATGCAATCAATTATATTTCTGAAAATTAGTGACTTTGTATTACAGTGGAAAGAAGCAATTTTCCCGCTCAGAAATGTTTATCTTGTTGTGCCATTGTCTGTGCATTTGCACATGTTATTTATATAACATCACTTGCTGCACGAGGTGATAACTTAGTTTCTGGGTATGCTGGAGGTTGACAATACTGCTTTTTTTGCAACTGCCAGGCTCTACCGTGAGCGGATAAGCCAAGTTGATGCCAAACTTGAGGAAGTGAAGACTGGGAAGGCGTCTGAATACCTGGAGCCACTTGCTTCTCTGCAGCAGAACATGCAGATCCGGACTGAGGTGGCAGGTGTGTCATTGAGAGGCAGGCGCTTGTGGATGAGTCTTGTCAAGGAAATTAATGCCGATCCTATAGATGTGGAGATAGACACCTAGTCTGGCACCGCTGTTCCCACAGTTTTTTTCATCCAATCATTGAGCAGATTGTTGGCCAATCAAAGATTTTCTTTAAGTTGCGCTTACATGTTAGTGGTCCTCTCCACCATTCCCTTATTTAGCTTTACATTTATGTAAGATGAAGGGATGCTGCTTCTTTGGTCTTCGTGAAGGGTTAGGGTTTATGCTCATTGCTAGGAGTTGGGGTGTGGGGTCAGGATTATGGAGTAATGGTAAAGGGATGTGTTTTATATTTCGGTTTTAGGAATAAGGACAGTAGTTCCCAAGATGAGCTTGCTTACCTCACATCTCTTGGGAACAGTAGCCTCAGCTTTTTATTTTTAAAAGAGGAGTCTCGCTTGACCACTTACCTCTGTACACTCGAGTGTAATTGCATTAATTTCCTTAATGCCCAAACTTTATATAATAAAAAAAAATGCGTAATATGATTTGCATATGATAGCGTGTGTTGTACAATGGTGGGGAGTGGTAGTGTACCGGTTAGCGTGCTGCGCTATGAACCTGGCGACCCGGGTTCGAATCCTGCTCACGGCCAACACCCAGTGACTATTATCTGAACCGGTCCTGGGCATCCCCTAGGTCGACTCAGCCTCAAATGAGTACCCGGTGCGATATGTAAACATCGCCACCCACCCCTCTTGTGCCATGCCGGCCTTTATAGGTGCTCGCTAACAGCACTTGCCCCCACAGTCTGTTAAGGCTATACAGGGGATCTTTGTCTTTGTACAACTGCTAATTTCATATATTTTGTTATTTATTGGTAAAATACAGTTTTAAATTAGTGTGGCGAGATTGCAAAGTGATGGTTTGCATTTTGGCATATCAAGACATTTCATCTGTATTCGTAACCATGGAAAAATCTTGGTGCTGTATCTGCATAAGCTTAATGTTAACTCCATCATCATTGTTAGCTACTTAACCACCATCTTTGCCCAGTGTTCATCTCTGCTAGTTGGTGGGCCCTGAGTCAATCGCTGGAAATGCCATATTTCTGTGACAGTTATTATAATAACTATGCCATTAGCAAATATGAGGTGGTTGAGATTCTCAAAAATGTGGTTTATTATTGTGCAAATTAATACACTTATTTTTTGTATTTCTCAAGGGGTGTACAAGGAATTTTGTTTGACGGTCGTCAAACACAAGTATGAATGTGAGCTACAAGGTGCACGTCAACACCTGGAGGTGAGTTGAAATTGTGAATATATTGTGTGTTTACACTTGCTTATTTTTCACTGACAGTGTCACTTATGGTGGGATTCAATGGACATTTATTGTGGTTATGATTCTTTTGCTAGAGTGAAAAACTTCTGTTGTACGACACGGTCCAAAATGAGCTGGAGGAGAAGATCAGGCGCTTGGAAGAGGACCGCCAGAATGTTGACATCACCTCTGGTAAGTCCTCATACCGGACTGGAATGTTACATCTGCGCGAAGGCTGATTGCGCTTCACAATGTACAATGTTCTTCTGTGTTTGATGTGCCACGTGTATTTACCTCTGTTCCCCCCCCCCCCAGAACTCTGGGGTGACGAACTCAGAACGAAAAAGAAGAAGAAATTTGATCCGTTTAATCCAGAGAAAAGAAAAAAACCAGTTACTGTTACTGATATCCTTTTAAAGCTATCTTATGCTAATTTATATCCAGGAGGTATGTTTGGTATTTTGTTGTTATTTGATGATCACAGCCTATATCAATCCACGATTGAATGAAGGCCTCCCCATGTTGTTTCAGTAACGGGAGTTGTTTGGCTATACCTCTCCACGCTGTTTGGTGGTACAGGTTGGTTAACCGGGGGTGCCCAGGACCCGTTCAGCCGTAGTTGGGAATCAAACTCAGTTATCTGGGTTAATAGTGCTGTGTACTAGCCAATGCACCATTGCTGTACTCCTGTATTGTTATACATTATATCACTAATTGTATTGTTAGCATTCTGTACCTATATATTCAAGTAATCTCCCTATGGTTTTGTGACTTGATAAACTCAGTGGAAACTTTTCAATGTGTTGAGCAACAGAAATATTTTCCATGTTTTTTTCAAACAGCTACATTGTGCTTTGGATTTAAGGTGTCCTTACAATATCCATCTTAATTTCGTTAACATTTTGCACGTCCATATATCGTCTATATGCTTTGGGACAGTGAGATTCTAGAAGACTGGACGACTATCAAAAAGATAACGGTACGGTGTTTTCTCATTACACAAAATCATGTTTTGTCACACCATCTGTATGCCCTGTACAATTTAATACTACCTGATTAACTGCCATATTAAGCCATGTTTATTTTAATATTTTCACTTGCAGGGTAAAGCTGCAGTGAGCCAGACAAGGAGGAAACCTGATGGTAAGGAAAGTTATAAATGAATGCTTTGAAGACGTGCACATGCTTATAGTCGTTGTTTTCACTATGACTTAGTGATATTTTAGTACAACGATGACCAATGTGCCTAAAGTAAATGTTGTTGGTCGTTGTATTCTACTTGCTATGACATGGATCAGAAACGTGGACATTAACTCGGACAATGGAACAAATACTGAATGATGCACGAATAATCTTGGATAGGTGTTTAATTGTAATTTCACTGAGAGAAGTAACCCATGGATCAGAGAACATACACACGTTACAGACAACGTTGGAGTTAGACAAAGTAAGTGGGCTTGGACAGGACGCGTCGTTCGAAGTGATGATGGCCGACGATCGAGACTAACAATGGAATAGCAGCTAAAGGAGAGCACGCCGAAGAGGACATGCACCGCAAAGGTGGAGCGATGGCATTCGGCTGTGTACAGGAGCTAGATGGATTGTTGCATTGTGAGACAGCACAAAGTGGAGATGGCAGGGGAAGGTATATATTCAGCAGTAGATAGAGCAATTCTGCTAATCATAAAATTATTTTAATTACTGGATCTTTTACCAGCACCACAGACAACGTCCCTGAGCATTTAGAATTCTGTATGCGATGATGATGCTCTCCAAAGTCAGAATTCCAGTTTTTGCCATTAGTGTATGTGGTTGGCTGCTTTGATAATTTCTCTTCATTTAGGAGAGTGTGTGGAGAGAGTAAAGTGAAATGAGAGGGGAGAGCTAGGAGAGCGTGTGGAGGGGAGTAGAGTGAGATGAGACGTGAGAGGTAGGAGTGGGTGTGGAGGGGAGTAGGGTGAGATGAGAGGGGAGAGGTAGGAGAGTGTGTGGAGGGAGTAGAGTGAGATGAGAGGGGAGAGGTAGGAGTGGGTGTGGAGGGGAGTCACATCCAATGTCCTCATAGCTTGTTCTGCCACATTGCTAATGACCACGATGATTTGGTAATATTGAAGGCGTTGGCCGGGCTACACATAGCCACGTGTGATTTCCCATGCATTTCTTGCAGTGGTGTTCAAGCAGGATAAGCACCAGTACTCGGCTCGCTTCGAGGAGGGGAGGCTCTTCTACGAGGGTGACTGGTATGGCCGGGGACACAGCATCATCATCGACACCAAGGACGATTCGCCAATGTTGTACGTCACGCTGATCTCTTATTATTATTGTATTCTTGTCATACGGATGATGTACATGCAAAGCAACAACTACAATGTCACATTCAGTTGGTCAAGCCAGATATCCGCGTCAGGAGTAGCGGATTGTATCGCTGTGATGTCCCCTTTGTATTTGTGGATCAGTCATTGCGTTGTTATATGTTGTAATTATTGTTATTTGTATTATGACGGTTGTAGACCACAGGCCCAATGGCCAAAAATACCAAGTTTCTATGAACAATCATCCCTATTGAAGGTGTAATAGATAAGGGAAAGTTCAGACTTCTTGAATTGAGCAAGGGTAGAATAACTTCAGTCCACCTGATAGACTGATTCCTCCTCAATAAGGGTGGAGGAATTAAGGAGTGAAAATTTATACGGTATTCCTTTGTCAATATGTACATGTATACGAGTACAGAAAATGTTTCCTTCACAACAGTGAGCGAAAGTGTACATGGTTTCCTTTACCAACGGCTTACTTGTCATGGGGGTTAATCTGCCACACTTTACCACGTTAGTTGGTGCGGGTTTGTTGAAGTTGGGGAGCATTAATGTGAGGCAGTAATCCAATACAATGGATGTTGCTTTACTGCCCTCTGGTGCCCACAGTTAACTTTTTTTCCATCACCTCTCGTGATAATCATGTTTTTTTGATCATCGCTCGTGTTATGCGTAGCACGGTGGTGCAATGGTAACATTTATTCCTCACAGCAAGAAGGTCCTGGTGTTCTGTTTCCTACTCGGGCACCTTTCTGCGTGCATTTTATATGTTTTCTGCCTGTTTGCATGGGTTTTCCGTGGGTTTGCCAAGTTTCCTACAATTGCGAACAAAAAACGCTACTATCCAGCCGGTATTAGCCAAAACATCCCAATGCTGAAATATTACCTGCAAATTACTCCAGTAACAGTAGCAACATCGCCGCCCCCTGTTATGAAAACTTGGAAGGACCTTGCTGAGAAGTGTCGACACTCGGTGAGGCCTTACTGGGTAAACAAGTGTAGTATCAATAATAATGATGATAAAATCGCGTGAGGTTTTTATAATTTGCACGTTACTATAACTAATGAATTGTGTTTGGATCGTGCCTTTGCCGTTGTAGCGCTACGATAACAGCCATCAACACGCTGGAGGTGTGGATCAAGCGGTCGGACAACAGCAAGTCAAAGCTGTACATCTCTCAGCTGCAGAAGGGAAAGTATACAATCAGGCACGCGTAGCCGCCTGCCTTACAAGCGGATTCCAACTCCTCTGCACCACGCTGGAGCAAAACAGAAAAAGGACGTGAATTTTTAAAATATATAATCAGCGGTGTATCATTATCTTTTTTAAAAAGGGTTTGTGTAAGCCCAGTTTTTTATTTTATTTGTGTGGGCTATGGAATTTCCCAATGCAGCTGTGATGTGCAAAGTCATTATAAACGGACACTTTTTAACAGCTAACAAGACAACAGCAACCCGATAAACAAAAACAGATTTCCTTGCAAGATTTGCTGTTATGCCGTTTTTAGGGACATAGGAAGCTACATGTGGGTCTTTTTTGTTAATAACTTATTCATAAAAGTTATAATCTTAATTTTAAATGAACATAGGTGTAGGCTAGCTTTACCGAATACATTTTTGTTTGAAAGTATACAGCAAGCATTGTAATGGTTTTTACACGCATTTTTTTTAAACGTAAATATCTTTATAGCCTTTTTCCAGTTCTGTGTTTTTGTAGTTGTGTACAGTATTTTTTTAACAACAAAACCCATCCTAAACTCATTCCTAAACCGTTTTGTCATTTTTTTTGACAAACCGTTGGGAATATACAAGCAACTACAATGCATTGCAATGGATTGTAGCTTTAAGCGCGAGGATGATGTACTCCTACCCTTGTCTGACGTGACATCGTCCAGTCAAAGTGAAATTATTGACCAAGCTAATAGTGGAATGCAGTGCATCGCCTCGATGGTGCTATTTGCATAGACGAGGAATGTGGCGGTGTAGATTCATCAGTGAAAATCGATTCTTGCACTCAGAAGTACACGTGTTTCATTGTGCGTGTGAGAATTGGATGATTTTAGAGTAACATAAATGATATTACAATTATATTCCAATATTGAATTTAGGCAAATGGAGCAGACAGAACTGTTTAAAACAAGATGGAAAAAAGGAAACATTACAAACGAGACAAATCAGGAACTTTATTTTTTTTTATCGAATGACGACCACGAATCGTGACAATTCATCAAATCGCTGAGAACAAAAAAAAAGAATCCCAGAGAAACAACACAATGGACGTGTTCAATACGATACAATCGAATCGCCACCCTGAAACTGCGACAATTGAACAGTTGCATGCCCTTCAACGACACGTTGCCTTCTGGGTAACACAGACATGCTTGATGAGGCGAAACGTTTGGACGTTCTTGGGCTGCGACAGTAAATGTTATCGCATAAATTATATAAAAACAGAAACCATTTTGGCAGACATTTACACAAAGCAAAAAGCAACCATGTTTTGAGCCCGACTTTTTATCCAATCTGTGATGAAAATGTGGCTGTCTGCAGCATCACGGCCAAAACCTGTTAAATAAGATCATTTATTTGCTTGAGACATCATTAAAATTCGTACACACCAATAGTCGTTATATCTACCTTGGTGTGAGTTTTGGTTGCCTCGTCAAGGTGTGAACCTGGCTCAGCATTCATCCAAATACTGCACGTTCGTTTAATTCAACAACGTACAGCGTGCTACTGTGTGGAAAAATACAAGTGGCAGTTTCAGCCGAGATGGTGGGGTTTTCTCCCTGTCAAGTTGGCGTTGCGTTTAGCGTAAGTGCGTGGCTGCACTGTTGGAGAGAAGAGCATGGAAACTTTATTGCTTGCACTCTTGTGTTGTATATTAGACGATGTACATAATGATTATGTCTTTGAAGAATGTTTGGTGTGAATAATTATTATTTTTTTTTTTTGCAATGTAAATTGCTTTTCTTTCGCAGTCCTTGGAAATAGAGTTTGATACTGGCATGTTATTAGGCAGGTAGCAAAAATACTTCATGATCGGCATTACATGCAACACTCGCATTGCAATTGAGGTGGATTTTATTTTTTACTTCAGAGTGAAAGCTCGCATTTGGTCCGTTCGGAATCTTGAAATTTGGTGGCAATAAGATGCTATACAAATCAAAATTCAATTGTATTGTCCTGCAATTATTATTCTTTTACCAAGAAGGGGTCATGGCTGCATCCATCCCATCTCCAAAATTCTCATCTCGACCCGATTCCTGGGTTGGATATCATCTCTAGCTATTGTGTGTCAGACTTAAGTCCATTTTAATGTCATCTATTTCCTAACTTCACTCTTAAGTACAACAGCTAGCTAGGCGTAAGTTATAAAGCCTCGAATGGTTCATGTCTGCCCTGTGTCATAGTTTAACATTTTAAGAGAACGTTTCAGCACAGTGATTATTGACTGTGCACCCCACTCAAGGGCAGTGGGAGAGAGGGAACAGATGATTAAAGAAGAAATGTCACTGATAATGATTGTGGAAAGGTAAAGCTTACCAGGTTTCTGGGAGGCTCAACCAGAACACGGGGTGAGTCAGCTTCCTCCCTCCTTCAGACCTGCCCAAATATCAATAGCCACACTCATTCAGCCACTAGCGGCACTCTGAGTGAGATTCCTCGCTCGTGCCCCCCCCCCCCAAACTCCTCTGCCATCCCTGCCCTATACCCAGGCAGTCCTGCCCTATGTATCATGAGTCAAGCTGGGAACCAGAATACTTGAAACCGGGACAAAATCTCTGAATGTTACAATCGTTGGAACACCGGGACAGCCTTTCTGAAACAAGGACTGTCCCTGCCTAACCAGATCATTTGGTAGCTTTTTGCAAGTAAGAATGTGATATGTGCCCACGTCGATACATTAAATAAGAATGAGAAAACCTGTTTTTAACGGTTCAATTCCAGTTTTCTGTGGCCTGCGTTCTCCACTCATTTCCGCGTCTTTTGGTCACGTGCCTTGATTTGGTTTGCTGAGCCTCGTGAATTCCCGCAGAGCAATGGAACCTGCGCTCTGCTGGAACCTGCGCTCTGCGGGAGGACACAGTAAGGGTTGGTGGAGGGACGTTTTGAATCGCCTCCTAATATTCACACATTACCATTTTTATTATTATTATATAAGGCTGCCACAACAGTGGTCTGAAGGGCAGATTCATCGGCAATGCAGCTCAATAGGCATATTACCATTTACTTTCCGAGTATAGAATGAATAGACATGAAGGGATGTAACTAGTTATTTTCATTTAATAACCTCTCATACAAAACATTGTGAGTCCTGGAACCTGTTGATTTAAATTATTTGAATAAACCTTTGCAGTGTATGTTCTACATGCTAACAGTACCGCTCTGTGCCAAACATGTATAATCGATTTACATAAAGAATCTTGATTTGAAGCTTTCGTGACTGCAGGAATCCATACTCTTTGGTTCTTTTGGTAAAGTCACGTAGGTAGAAAATAAAATAAATCACGACGTTTCGGGCGCAACACAAGCATCCATCATCAGGTGGGAAAGCATGGTCTGCTGCTTAGGCAGTCTGTTTAAAAAAGTTTTTTGTAAAAAAAAAAAATTTGTTAAAAAAGTTTTTTTTGTTAAAAAGGTTTTTTTTTTTTAAACAGTCTGCCTCAGCAGCAGACCATGCTTTCCCACCTGATGATGGACGCTTGTGTTGCACCCGAAACATCGTGATTTATTTTATTTTATACCTACGTGACTTTACCGAAAGAACCAAAGAGTATTTACATAAAGAAATTACATAAACGCAACAACTTTACAAGACGATTATCCCCTTTGTGACATTCGACATTGTGCGAGGTATACCCAAAAAGAATGCCGTTATTTTTTGCAAAGGTAATACAAAATGTTTGTTATTTAATTGTATGAGTGTCATGAACATTTGGCTTTTTTTTACTTTTCTATTCACTCTTGTACCAATGTAGAGCCGGAGCCAGCGGAACATCACTGTTGAAGGATTTACGAATATCTTAACTTGTCGATTTAAAGCTTTCGTGACTGCAGGGATTCATCTTATTGGTTCTTTCGGTAAAGTCACGTAGAAGGGAAATAATAAAATAATAAAATAATAAAAATAAACATAAAATAATTCTCACGACGTTTCGGCCACAACGCAAGCAGCCGTCCTCAGGTGCAGACCAGACCTGAATCAGACGCTGTCTCCCCGACAGACCTGGTCTTCACCTGAGGACGGCTGCTTGCGTTGTGGCCGAAACGTCGTGAGAATTATTTTATTATGTTTTATTTTTATTATTTTATTATTTCCCTTCTACGTGACTTTACCGAAAGAACCAAGAAGATCTTAACTTGTGTTTTCTTGGTGATATTTTGTTGAACCACATTTGTCACCTGGCAGATTAAATCATCTTATTACACCATGGTGCAAGACCAAACATGACCCTGAGAAACCCTCGGTGGCCATTACAGAGTTCATTTGGACTGTTGCCCCCAATCCACCTCACCAGCCAAGACCTGGCACCCTCAGATGTGTGTGTAACTCGCTCCTCTGTGTGGACATCATTTTGAAAATGATACCGCTCTACTGGATGTTATCCGCAGATGGTTGAGTCCGCTTGTGCAACGTTGATGAATCCTTCAGCTGTGATACAATGCTTGTCCTGGTTCCATAACGGCTCAAGAGTAAAGGATGGAGACTTGAAAATTAACTAACTGTTCGTGAACTTTATGTGAATGAATATATGTTCACATCAGTTCACGGTAATATGTTTCTGAGAATAGGCATTGCATTTTTTGGGCCATCCCTCCGATTATTGATGTTGCTCCTGGAAAGAAAAGCACCCCCCTCTTTATGATATTGTCGCTGTAGTTTCAGCTTCATGATGTATCACTGACACTTGTTTTTTTTTTCGTTCAGTGTTTTGATTCGTTCATTTGTTGTAAATTGTATTTGGTTTGTGGCGTTGCCAATGGTTTTGGGTACAGCAAGGGCTTCTAGTTACGTGTACATACGGCTGAGTAGTTGATTTGGTGTATTTGTCTTTTTAGATACTGACATGGAAGCATATTTGAATCTTTACTATGAGAATAATAAAACTTTGAAACGTATATCACAATTTGGCATTTGTTTTTTAAACGAGTTTAAGCAGTAAGCTTGAGCGTAAGAAAAGCATCTCATTGTTTGGAAATGTACGTGGTCTTTGACGTAATTTCGTACGGCTCTTGGCTACATGAGGCCGACCACCTCGGAACAGAGGTCGCAAACAGGTTTTGATTCCTTACCCATACCCGGCCGCACCAGGGTCGCAAACGGGTACCCGTACCCAGCCGTACCCGTACCCTACCCGTACCCGGCCGGGTACAGGTAGGGTACGGGTATCGGGTACCTGATTGCGACCTCTGGGATGAAGCCATGTTGCAGGCGCGGGTGGGTTGATTTTAGGAACTTGAATTGTGAGAAGAGACAAGACGTTGGGAAATGAGTGACAAACAGTTACTCACCAGTGACTCACGGCCTACCCGTACCCGTACCCGGCCGCACCAGGGTCGCAAATAGGTACCCGTACCCGGCCGGGTACGGGTACCCGGGTATCGGGTAGGGTACGGGTATCGGGTACCCGGTTGCGACCTCTGCCTCGGAATGGTCTGTGAATAGTATCCACTGCAAGCAAAGAGTGAGCAACGTACAAGTAAGGAAATGGCAGTGATGAGAATGAAACTGGCACTATTTGGACGCGTGCAGGATGGACAACACCAGGAAAATTAAAAGTGTGTTGTTCAGAAAAATAGAAGGAACTGGAAAGAGAGGAAGACCTAACAGAGAATGGCTTGACGACGACAATCATAGATTGGTGCCGGGAAGATGTGGCACTACTTGGGCATATTGGCACGAGACAGAAGAAAGTGGAAACAAACGACAAAATGTGCAGTGCACACCCACGGGCTATCTGCCCATGGATCGTGATGATGATGATCATTGGCATCCTAAATGGATATTAGGGGCCGTCCATAAATGACGTCACGCACCTAGCGGGGGGGGGGGGGGGTCAGACATTTGTGACGATGTGTGACGGGGGGGGGGTGAGAAATGTGACGTCACGTAAAAATTCCCTTGGTTTTTTCAATAAAGTCACGTAGGTAAAAAAGAATAATAATAGAATGAAATAATAAAAAATTGAAAAATAACTAAATGGCAATTCCTCATTTCTGAAGGTGGGTAAAGGGGATGAATTGTTACATTGCTGCCGATCCCAGATGTAAGGTGAATTCCGTTCTGTGTCTCCATACAGAAGTATAAATAGTCTTTAGTACAACAGCCTATTGGCTTTCCAGACCCATATTATCAAGCAGCATTTATTTAAGCGATAAAAGTGGACTCGTTTTGACCTCGTCAACATAGACACATGCTGCCGAGCTACCGCATGTAATTAGCAAGATCACTCCGTACGAACTATGGGACCCCGTTAAACGCAAAAAAAAATCAATACGCGAGTTTGTGTTTCCATTATTCCACGTTCCCTTCTTGTGCTACCCTATCCGCACAAGCAGCAGAGCCTCTCCGACTCGGGGTGGGTGGTCTGTTGGCGGCGGTGGTGGTGGTGGGGGTTAGAGAGAAGCCTTGCTTCCTGGAAGCTTGAGCCTGAACCCTTTGACAATGGGCGACTTTATCCACTTAGCTCATTCCTGCATTAAATCGTTAGAAAAAAAAAAAAAACGCGTGGGTTTTTTTTTGGAAGAAAACATTGAAGATGATAATTAGATAAGTTTCCCTTTTATTTTGTGTTTTTCATGGCTCTTCGGTTTTGTTGTGTTTGTGAACGTGACATACATTTTCGTTACATAATATTCACAGGACGGAGTAAACATTTAAGTGGTAAGAGTGGGAAATGTATGGACGTTGGCCTTCTGCACCGTACGTAGCCAACTGTGCTAATTGTATGTATGTTGAACTTCTCTCCCATCGTGCGTAGCCAACCGTGCTAATCGGAGGTGCGGGGGAAGGACAACAAACTAAACACAAAAAGCAGTTCTAAAGAAATTAGTTTTCAATCCATATTAAGCGATTCATAGCTCCAGTGGCTTCCTAATATTGGAAGGAAGAGCGTTCCAGACGGCCGGTTGTCGAGACTAACAACGATCGTGTCAGCTATAGGAGTGACATGCCTAAGAGGGCGTCCATCATATAGATGGAGTGATGAACTCAGCTCTTGTGCAGGTGTCACACGGATTGCTGCATCGTGGGACCATAATTTAGGGCGGCCTTCATCCAACAGTGAATCGAGGATGGTTGACGAAGTTTTCCTTGATTAAAAAAAAAACACAAGTAAATTTGTCAGTGGACACATCTTCAAGAAAGGTTGTATGGGCAGTCCACTGCATTTAAGATAGCTTCGTCGAGTTTTGCCCTCCTTAGACCTCATCGGCAAGCTTCTACAGGGCAGCGTTCGATAGCACTACATATCCTTGTACATATCCGTGTACATTTGTCCGTGTTATTCCCGCATACGAATGTGGGTTTTCACCAGGCACTCTGGTTTTCCTCCCACACACAAAACACTCGATACACATGTAATTGGCCAAACTTCTCAATGCATGACCCTCCTGAAAGAGAGTCTTGAGACTCAGCGGCAGGGGAAGGGGATCCTTCCTGCATCGGTTAACCATATAACGACGGTGCTGTTATGAATGATCACTGCCAGGTGTCCTTGTGCACAACGGGATATTTGAGTTGGCATCGGTCCTTCTCAATGCTACGGTGGCGAGATGTTAACTCCCTTGCCCTGTATAGTTGGAGTGTGTGTGTCTCCCTCTCTCTCCCTCTTTTCGCGTGGATTTTTCTCTGGGTTTTCCCTCCAAGTTTATAAACACGCGTTTAGAGTATTTGGCTGCTATACATTTACACATGATAAGCCACTTCGTTGAGCTATCATTTGTGGCCAGGTCAAATTTAAATAATTATAGTTTAAATACCCCATCGTCGCGCACACGTGGGTTTGCAACCAGAGCTATGCAGATGGTTGTGACCGCTCTAGAGGCGAGGAACGGCACGGACCCATGCTGTTGTACAGGTGCGGTACAAACACAGGCGTCACCCGCAACGGCGCACATTTAGACGCGCAGGTTTTTAGCGGTGGATGGTTTATTTTTGACAATGTGGAGCCGATGTGCGATGCTCTGAGACGATGGTGCTGGAGGTTTGAAGGTGGTGTGTGAAATATTGTGTTGTGAATTTCACACACTGATGTGGCTTCCCCTTAAATGCCTTTGTCACAATACCTCTTTGGCTTTTTGCCATCGCGGTTCGTTTTTGTGATGTCGGAGTCAATTCGCGATGTTATTTTTAACGATGGTGCCGCGAGCTTACGGATGTGTTGTGAAATATTGTGTTGTGATTTTTTTTCACATGGCTGTGACGTTGCCTCAAATGCCTTCGACGCAATTGCTTTTTGACTTGCACGGAAAAAAAACTTTTTTTTTACTTTTAATATTTGGTTCTTCTTCTTGGTTATTTCGGTAAAGTCACGTAGAATGGAAATAATAAAATAATAAAAATAAAACATAATACAATAATTCTCACGACGTGTCGGCCACACCACCTGAGGACGGCTGCTGTCTTCTCGACAGACCTGCTCTCCACCTGAGGACGGCTGCTGGCGTTGTGGCCGAAACGTCGTGGGAATGATTTTATTATGTTTTATTTTTATTATTTTATTATTTCCATTCTACGTGACTTTACCGAAAGAACCAAGAAGATGAATCCCTGCAGTCACGAAAGATTTAAATCGAAATTTATTTGGTTCTCATTTGAACTTTGAAAATCCGTGCTCAGTATCATTGCTAGTATTCCCATATCCAATTTAAAAGGTGGTAAAATAATAGAAAACTAATTAATAGGTGGCCTCGTGACTCCGGCTCCACTCAAATCCTGGCTTCGAATCCAGGCTTGAGGCACCCACGATTCAACACGGTTCCCGAGTGTCGTGAGTTAATGGTCTCCGCAATATCAAACTGGGTGTTTGTACTTGGTGGGTGGAAGAGTGGCGTGCCTCTAGTATGGGGATAAAAAAATTAACCCGTAAAAACAAAGTTTTTCACTATAAATCCTTTATATGCGTGGTGGCTAGAGTCCTCTCGTCCTCTGGCTTGAGATGGCTGCCACCTATGGGTCAGATGATTGCCTGCCACCATTAAGCAATTGGTAATTAAATATAAAAAAAATTCCCTAAAATGTTGAAAATTTTGGAAAAAAATTTTCACGAAAATAAATTGTCACGCACAACGAGTATGTGTGCAAAATGTCAGCTCGATTGGATCACGGGAAGTGGGTTAAAAACGACCGAAAGATTTGCACGGTCGTAAGCGCGCAAGCAAGCAAGCAAGTGAATTTAATATAAAGGATTTAAAAACATGTCACTTGAAGGGAGTTCAGAAGTAGTTCAGCAATATCTTTTTCCACCGCCCATTCACTAACACGGGGCTAATGCACTGCTGGTCGCGAGAGATCCGATTGGACACATCGTCTCGTGGCATGACACCGATAGCATGACTGAAATTAAATATAGAGAGTACAAACAAAGAAAATATCCACGTATCCATCATTTTCAGCCATCATCTATCCACTGCTAGAATGGGGCGCCACGATGGCGAGATGTTAACTCCCTCGCCTGGTGTGCAGAGGTTCATGGGTTCGATCCCGATCCTGATGGCTGTACATTCGGAGTTGGTATGTTCTTCCCATGGTCGCGTGGATTTTTCTCCGGGTCCTCCTGTTTTCCCATCCGCATTTAGAATTAACATGCGTTTAGAGTATTTGGCTGCTATACATTTACACTTGATAAGCCACACCGTTAAAGCTATAATGTGTGGCCAGGTCGTTTTGAAAAGAGCTAAAAAGCTTAGTGGCCTGACCTGGTAAAATAAAAGTTTTATTTTACCATAGAAGGCCCCCCCAAATTATCGCCACCTCTCACTGTCCTACGATAATGAATAATAAAAACTTTAGTAAATGTAAACAATAGAACGAATGTAAACAACAACAAAGGTATTTATACACGGTGAAGAATGATGAAGTGACAGCTATTAATATAGTACGGTACTTTATTTTAACC